TAAGAAGAGAACTTTAAGTTTAAGTCACTAAAAAACCTTTTTCCTTTATTTGTTCATCTTTTTCCTCCTATCATCCTCCCGCCATGATCATACCACCACCGTCACCTCCAAATCATCCTTATCATTTTCCTCATTATCCTATTTGTCTTCCTCTTCCTATTCCTCCTTCACCTCATTCTTTAACTCCAGTAACCCCTATCGTGTCTCCATGTCATCACCACATCACCGGCGTTCCTTCGCATCACCGACAAGCCTCTACATCATTGATAAGCCTTTGTGTCAATGCCCACCCACCGAAAGGTCACCAATGAGCCAACACTGCATTACCACCAAGCCACCATGGAGCCATTGTTGCATCACCTTCTCCTCCTCCACCTCCTCCTCTTCTTCTACTTATTTTCTTCTCACATATTCCCTTAATATAGAAAAACTTCGTTGTCCAAATTTTTAGCGGATTTACTAATAGAATAAAATTGTCGGTAATTGTAATGATAAGTTATCGACGAAAATATTCTTTGATCTTTTCAATGGATGTTATAGACAAATTTGATATCGATAAAAATATCTCTTGGTAAATTAAATTTTGAAAAACGATAAAAATCTGTTAATAAATTTGAGTTCATTGATGAATTTATTGCATCCACAATAAACCGTCGATAATTAACGAAATTCTTGTAGTAAAATCAATCTCATAAAACCAAAATCTTAAAAAGTGGATTTTAAGTCTAATTCAATATTACAAAATCAAATTGTATTCTAATATTACCTTTTTCTAATAGTTGTGAAATTTCCATTATATCTATCTCAACCTCATAAAAATATTTTGGAGGATGAAATTTATAATTTGATCAGAAATGATATCTCGATCTTGAAATTGTATATTTATGAATAATTACGTAAAAATATTATATATCTTACATTAATTACTATTTTGAAGTATAGAAAAAAATAAAAAAATTTATTTTATTAACTATTAAACCAATTATATTTTTATTATATATATTTATAATAATTAATTTTTTTAGAAAATAAGTTAAAATATGTCAAAATAAATATTAACATTATTATATGTAATGAACTTCCTCATATAATATCGTTTATTAAACTTACTTTCTCACTCACTACAGAACTACTCGTGAATTATCCAAAAATATGTATTCTATATTAAAATAATTATAGAATTGATTTAAATTTAAATTTAAATTTCTTAAAAAGGAGTAATGTAATCAATTTAAATCATTCATCTTGTTATATTACATAATTAATTAATTGTCACATGACATTAATTAGAGAAAAACCTAATTAAGTTGACCTGTTTGAACTTTCGTTATAAGCCAGCGAGTTACTTCTATATCTTTTCATATATTATATATATATATAAAAGCGCTTGTTTTCAGTTGGTATATTTTAATAATGTGTACCGAGTTTTAGTAGACAAAAATACCCTTATATATTATGGATTCTAAGTTTTAAGGTTAAGGATATTTTAATAATTTTCATTCTCAAAACTAAAAGAACTCAAACCCTTATTCATTCTTCTAATTCCTCTCAACCATTTCTCTTTCATTTCTCTCCCTCCAACCTCATTTCTCTGTCATTCCTACGGTGACTTAATTTAAAAATAAAATTTAATAATAATAAGAAGGGAAAATATATAACACATACCTCTAATCAAAAATCAACCTCAACATCAACAATTATTTTGTTATTAAATTGGAAAACAAATGAACAAACAAAGCAACAAATTGCGGTGTCGCGGGGTGTTGTGTGTGGGTGAGGGAGAGTATGGTGATAAGAAAGAAACAAATTGAATGAGTGAGGAAGGTGGATTAAAGTTAGGCAAGTGTTTTCGATTTTTTCAATTGGAGCTACAGTAGGAATGACAGAGAAAATGCTGGAGCGAGAGAAATGAAAGAGAAATGATTGAGAGGAATAAGAGAGATGAATAAGGATTTTGGAGTTTCTTTTTATATATATATATATATATATAGTCATTGGTTGGTGACTTAATTTTCTCGATTCAAGATAGGAAGTCTTGAAGTCTAATACAATTAGATTTGGATTGAGATTCATCGAAGAAAAAAATTATAATTTTATTCGATCTTCTTCTACAAGTACACTATACCACCAAATAATAGGACGGATATTAAATATTTTAAAACTAAAATACTATAGAAAAGTGTATATTTAATGTTTCTAACTTAAAGATATCTTAAGTTTTTACTAAAACAAATATAAATTTGTGGCTACAAAATTTGAAACACGATCAATTGTTGTATCGAGAATATTCCATCAAACATTAAAATAGATGCATGAAATAGTAGTTGTGTGCGGAATGTTTGGGAAATAAAAGGGTTTGGAGACTAACCACGATGGTGAGACCCCTAAATGCATCGAGCGTCGCAACTCTCTTGGTCTTCTTCTTAACCAGTGGTGGCTCCGCCGACTCATCCACAGCCATTGTGTCTCTGTCATGCTCAACGGTAGAACCTCCGTTACTGCTTTTAATGGTTACCTGCTTCTTCAAATCATTCTTATCACCATCTTCATTCAATGGTGAATTCAGGCCTTCTTCCATCCTCTTAGTTCCTTCATCCATCGATCAATACTGAATTCTTTTCAACAAACTTCAAATGTGTCCTTGTCTCTTCCTCTTGCAGTGGAACACAACAATTATAGGGAGAGATAGAAATAAAGAATTAATGTGACAGAGAGGTCCAAATTAATGAAGCAGAAGGCCGGCTTTGTTGGCTTCATCGTCAAGGTGGAAGTGTTTAACATTACATTACAAATACAAAGCGACAGATGGAAGTATGGATTTTTTTTCAACACAAACAAATATATATATAAAAATAAAAGACATTGGAGAGAAAGACAGGGAAGAGGTCAACACTCTCATTTGTTATATCAGTTTCAGCAGCTGTTATGATTAGTCTAAACTTCGAATTATTTCTTTGAATGTGTTTGGATAGTGCTAATTGTCCGGCTAAATAGAGTAAAATTATAAAACAAAGATGATAAACAGACAAGAGCTTTCAAAAAAGTAGTTAATTACTCATTTTCTTAATAAGCACCCAAAGATGATGCCATATCCTGATATCCTAGTTTCTAGTAACAGACTTTTCATCACTTTTCATTTGGTAACTTTCATTCACTTAACATTTACGTTAAAATATGAATTATAAATCTAATTCAATCCACAAAATTAATTTTTAAAGTAAAGTTTAAATTTAAATATATATATCTTAAATTGATTTTATCTTGTTAAATTTTTTAACAATTTAATAAAAAAAAATAGTAATTAATTATCAAGATTATAATTTAAGTATGGTAAAATAATAAACATGGTGTCATAGGTATGTTATTTATATGTAGATGCGTGGTTGTTGGCTTATGAGATTAAATAAATTTAACTATTCTTTAACAATTGTAGAAGTGAGGCTTTCCTTTATGTTGGTGATTGAAACTGCAAAGAAAGACATAAGAATTAACTAAGAGTGTGGTGATACATTTTTTAATCTAAATTATAGATAAAATAATATATGAAATTCTAATAAACTTTATTTAATAAGATAACTTTTTTTAATAGCACTTAGTTTATTTACGTTACTCATATTTAAAATAATTTACTTAAATGAAATTTTTATCTTATTATCTTGTTACTTAAAATAATAATAGAAAATTTTAATGTCTAAATGGTGTTTTTTTTTTTTACTGTTATACTTTTTTTATTATTAATTTAGTGCTACTATAAAAATAATGTAATATAGAACCTCTAGTAATTTCCAGCGGCTTTATGTAACCGCCCCTAAACATTTAACTCTTCATTTTTTCTTTTTCGCGCCACTGCAATCTCTTATTTATCTGTTGGCGCTTCTCTTCTCGTTTTCTCTCTTGTGCAATCCTTAATTTTTCTCTCTTTCCACTTCTCTTTTCGTTTTCTCCACTACCAAGCTCCAAAATCCTTTCTTCTCCACTTTTCTGTCTTTATTTTTCTTTCCCTTCTTAGCTTTCCCTAACCCTTCCTCTGCCGTCTCTTATGCACGCGAATCAGATGAACTCAATCAATGAAACACAAAAAGCGAAACCCTACGCCGCGCACGAAACAACCGACATGGCATGCGAGTGATGTCCACAGCCTTCCGCTGCCAGCGATGTCCGCGGAGCCGCCAACTGTGCCCTCGCTGCCACGGCCTAAGGCCGTACTCGCTAGAGCCGTGCGATTCTCGCCGGTGGAAGGGGAGGCACCACATGAAGGCCAGGAAGTCCCGCCTGAATTGATGAAGAAGAGGGCACCGGAGATTCGGAGAATGGCCCCGCCGCTGCAGAAGAAGGCGCGCTCTCTCGGACGGTTAATCCCCGGTTGCCGGAAGGTGTTGTTCCCCGAAGCTTCTAGAAGAAGCCGGTGATTATATCTGTGTCTTGGAGATGCAAGTGTGAGCCCTCATCATCAAATTTTTTGCCGATTGGGTGCTAACTTCCTTACATTCCCTTTTTCATTGCTTGTTTTTGTTTTTTTGGGATTTCTCAGTAATTATGTTATGGTATTGTGTAGGTCATCTGATGCACACTAGTTATCTATTGAGAAGAGCAAGTAACTTGGAGGTTTGTATTGTTCTATTATTTGTTTTCTTTTTCGCTCTGGTGAACTATCAAGGTTTGAAGTCCCTTTCTATTGTTGTGTAAAGATTGTGGATTGCTGTAGTAGATTTTCTTTTTTGGAGGGTCTGGTATAACAAATTATTGTGTCTAGTTTTCTTTATATTTTAGATAGTCATAAGTAGTTTTAAATCTGTTTTCTGTCTTACTGAAGTAGTTTAAATAGTTTTTTTGAATTGGTAGGTTTAGATTTTACTAATTTCTATTAAATGGTTTTATTAAGATGTTTCTTGTAGTAGTTTGATATGTGTGATTACATTTTGCTATAAGTAGGAGTTAGTTTAGTTTATTTTAGTTTTGAATTTTATTTTACGAATTAATGTTACTAACCAAGCTTTTCTCTGGGAATACTAACAGTTTCAGTTGTTCTAATTTTCTGTGACTAACATTTTTTTGCTGCCTTAGTCAGTTATCTAACTTTACTAACCCTGTTTTGCTGAGTTATCTCAGTTCACTAACATCTCTTTGTTGTTTCTAACGTTCTTTTTACTGGTGTTGCTTTTGTAGGTTCTACTAAGTTTTAGTACCAGTTCACACAGAGTTTCATTTTTTTTTGCTGCAGCTGTCCTACAGTTGTAGTTTCTATCTTTTATTAATATGTTATTTATAATTGTACATTAATTTAAATTTAAATGTTACTTGATTGTAGACTTTCCTTGTTTCAGGACATTGTAGCAAAGTTATTATCATTTTCACAGCAGAGGCCAAGGGCTTTGTGCAGCTAAACTGGAACTGGGACTGTTTCTTCTGTTACTCTGCGCCAGCCAGCTTCTACTAGCATAAGTGTTTCTTATGAGGTTAAAGAACTGATCACTGCATTCCTCGACTACTAGAAATTTTGTGGTTTTCATTTTGTCATTTGTTCATCACATTCTATTTCCTTGTAATAAAACAAAATTGGTACATTTAACATGTAGGTGAATGTCTCATCAGGAACTTCATGAACATCCATGCCTCATTTCTTAATAGAGTCCCTTCCAAACCAAAGCAATAATAATGACAGTAGTGTCCCTGAGACCAACTGATAAGGTATATGCAATTTGTGCTCTTAAAGTAATTTATGTGAATAGTTTGGTATCTACTATATATATATATTATCGATGAGATGCTGGATTTTCTTCTGCAGATGCCTAGAGGTGCAAAAGCAATTCTTGAGAACATCAAAAAGTAAGTTTATGATCTGCATTGCCTATTTTTTTTGTTTTTCTTGTTTAGTTTCTTTTAACCCTCCCATTTGAATAATTGCTTTTCTTTTTTGAACGGTCAACAAGCACGAGGATAAAACAAAAGTCCTTCTATCAACCCTCCTTAAAAAAATTAATCTCACATTATTACACTGTAGATGTAATAAAAAAATACTACACAAAAATCAAATACTAATTTAAATGATCAACAGGATTCCATGTCAAACAAATGCTTAACAGAAACTCTTTCCACTTACAAAGAAAACATAATGTGAACAAGTATTTTAATATCTTATTTATTTTATGTAGGGAATAAAGAGAACATGTGAAGAAGGAACCATATCACCACATGCAGAGACAATAGCGTTGTCAACTGTTTCAGAATCAGTTAGTTCATTACTTCACTTATCAGCTACTTTTGAATGTAGTATATATATATATATATATATATATATATATATATATATATATATATATACACACACACACACATATAACTTCCCATGCTAAAAACTAGTGTTGCATGTTTTCTATTCATAAAATATAAAGAGATATCGTAGGAAGCTGATGTTGTAACTGATTGATTGAATCTATGTACGAAGATGGTGAAGCTCAAATATGTTTACCATTTTCAGTTGTGAATATAGAACTGGAAATCATTGAAGATGTTGGTGTTGGAGACATTCAAGAAGCTTATCCAGGTTATTAGAAGATCTCTTTTACTTTTTGTTATCTTCATATTGTTCTAAGAGATGACATGAATTTTATCACTTGAATGTGTTTTTATTGTTTTTCTTTTGAATGACATTTATGGTTACCTTTCCCTTCCTTTTAAGATAAACTTGCTCAGATCACTTAAGCCACTCTGAATTTGTTGAATTGTTGAATTTGTTGAATTGTTAAAAGATCTGCCTAATTGTGGTTTCAATAATGATTGGTTGGATGATGTTGAAAAACTCCAAAACGTGCTTTGATTCCACGTTTGGTGGATCTTAAACATTAAGTGGTGGAAAGTCTTAAAAAAACAGTGGAGCTAAACTACATATGTATTGTATGATTATCTTGGTGGAGTAGTGTAGCCAAATAGGTTTTGTAAATTTGTGTTGAGAAGACTTATGATTTATGATTAATATCTAAGGACAATTGTATGAATCATGTTAATATATTGATTAATATAATTTATTTTATATAATAACATTTTATTTTAGTTTATATTATTTGATTGTCTATTTTGTTATTAAAATCAATTTTATCACAGTCAATAAAAGAAAATTAATTTCTATACATTTCTGGCGATTTGAGTGAAACCTTTGCTAATTCGTTGGTTTTTGCAAAACTCCTACCAATCTCGATGGTTTTTACAAAATCTGTTAATTTTGACGATTTTTGTAAAACTCCTATAAATAAATAACTTATTTACATAATTATATTTAAGTATTATAATTAATTATAATTATATTTATAATATTTAAATAATAGAAGGAAAATTAAATAATTAAGTACTATTATTTTTTATAACAAAAAAATTAAAAATAAATAATTATTTTAATATTAATTTTTTTATGTTAAAGTAATGGATTGAAAATACAGCTAGTAATACTAATATTAATAATAATGATGGGTTATATTAATAATAATAATAATAAAATTAAAAAATAATAGTTAGATATCAATATGTTTGTTTTAAATTATAAAATTTATGATTAATTATATGTAGTAAAATAATATTATTATATAATTAAAATTTATGTTAAACTTTTGAGTTATATATTATATTAAAATGAAATATATATCCAACTAGTAAAAGATAGATACATTGTGTAATATGGTCCTACAAAATAAATACACTATGAAATTGATGTTATATTTTTTTAAATAAAATCACATGTAGATATAATTAAAGATACAGAAATATTAAAACGGTGTTGGCATTGGTCAGGATAATATTAGTAATGAAAATTGTTATTTGAGACTGATTTGGTGAGTTAATATGGTTGTGAAATTAGAGATCGAAAGATATATTTGAAATAGGAAGGGTGCAAAGAGAAATTAGTAGGGTGTAGTCATTAAAATCCCTATATAAGTGTACCGTTTGTCGATTAGAGTGTACCCTACTAATGCGGATATTTACACTCGAATGCATTAATTGGAAGATTTTGATCTATTTGAATTTCAATTGGAAGGTTTATATGAAAGCTCTATCTTGGTGGTTAATTCGAAGGATTTTGATCATCCGAGTATTTACACATAAAATATGTTATGAAAAGTATATAAACACATAAAAGTATATAGATACTTAAATGTATATTCGTGAATAACAAATAGTAAATAATTTAATATCGGCATATAAATGAAATCGTATGTGAATATTATATTATTAGTAAATAAAATAAAAATATTAATATATATTTTAGACTAAATTTAATTAAAATAATATTTTATTAAATTAAATTAAATTAAATTAAATTAAAATTAATATTTAACTAATATTTAATTTAATTAACATTATATCTTACATATTTTTGTAATTTCATTTATATTTTAATTTAAAAATCTATAATTTTTTTAAAAATATTCATGATATCCATAAAAATTGGAAGTTATTTTTTAAAGGAGTATCTGTGGATTGAATTTTCCGTTGCAAGTCAAATAAATTTTCAGTGATAGAATTGTATTTTTAAATAAGTAGTCAGAAGAAATTAAATTTAGTTATAGCGAAAGTAGATTATATCTTAACTCATAAGTTTCTTATATTGTTAGGTCATTACTCTTTTTTTTTGTTTTTTTTTTAAATTTATATTAAAAAATAATATAATTACTATCATATTTAAATAAATAATTTATTTATATAATTATATTTAAGTGTTATAATTATTATAGTTATAAATATAATTAGTTATGTTTAATGATGCGTAATCATATGATTAAAATTTCGAATTAAATATTATATTAAATGAAATGTTTTAACTTTAATAATAATAATAATAATAATAATAATAATAATAATAAAGCTAATATCAATGTTAATAATAGTGAAAATAATAATAATAAACTGATACTACTACTATTAATAATAATACTAATATTAATAATAATAATAATAAACACTAATACTAATAATGCTAATGCTATTAATACTTAAATGCTAATAATAATAATAATAGTAGTAGTAGTTATGATTAGGAAGTTTGTTTTACATTAATTTTGAATTAGACGGTGTGAATCGTGTGACAGCTATAGAATAGTAATTGATAAACAAACTAAAATGAGAATATGACATTTCAATAATAGAACCACATATAATAGTCGCTAAACTTTCAATAATTGCAATAAGTCATTATTGACAACTAGGGTTATTTCATGTCTGTTTTATGCAATAAGATGCTATGGAAATGATGTACATTTAATGCTTTGAAAATCTTGAATTTCTTGATACAGAAAAGAAAAAAAGAGTAAAGTTGAGATAGTAATATTATGGTTTTGGTACGTTCCTTCTCCTTTTCTCCTCACATACAACTTCAAGATTGATCCTTATCCATATATATTGGTGTTAATTTTTGTTAGTTTTATCATTTAGACTTTGTTCAGTTGAATGGATTTGGAAGAGGGTAATTGAATGAATTTGAGAAGATTTGAAGGTAAACTTTTTGTTGTTTATTTGACTAGATTTGGAGGTAAATGAGAGTGGATTTGAAAATAAAGTTTGTGAGAATTAGTGTAGGATTTGATTAATGTGACAAATTAAAAATATTTACTTCCAAATCTATTCTCACTTATCTCCAAATCCACTCAAATAAACAACAAAAAATTTATTTTTAAATCTTTTCAAATTCATTCAATCACTTTTCCCAAATCCATTCAAGTGAACAAAATGTTAGAGAGATACAAACATTCTCTTTATTCTCATTGTCGCTCTTCTCATTGCAGAAAAGATTCAGAGACCCTACCTCCCCATTCTATTCTAAAGATCAAGACATTATTTTCTTAACTTTATAAGTGAATTTTCATGAGCTTTCAACGTGTCATTAATGTCTTCTTCAATAATATACGAGGTATTTTTCAGTTCTATCACTTTATTTTTTGAAGCTAATATATAAGTAAAACAGGTTTAGTTTTAAATTTCTATGAAAAAAATATTATTTTAAAACAAATACCAAGTGTTTAGTTTTAAAGCATTATATGTACCTAAAAAATTATCCTATAAACTTAATGCAATTATTGAGAATCACTGTTGATTCTCTTAACTGTTTTTCAACAGTTAACTTATTTTGTGTGTCTGTTCGGTTTTTCCCCCCTTTCATGGAATCCTATATATATAGGGTTCCTTTCCCCTTTTTCCCTTAACGTCAATGTATTCAGACTTTATTACTTTTAACAGAATAAAGAAATATTCAGTTTGCATTACTTACCCTTTTCCGATCTACATTTTCTTCTTCTGGTGCTCCGGCCACCATCGCTTCAGGCCGCCGTTGAGGGAGTCGCCGTTCCCTTCCACCTTCATCGCCTCTCGCTCTCCGTCTCATCTTTCTCTCTCTCGATATTTCTTTTCTGCGTTATGCCACGCACGCAACCCACTTTCAGATTAACATGCCATATGGGCCAGGAAAGGAATTGGGCCACCAACGTTGCAAGTGCACAGTGCTGGGCCTGTTCTAATATGGTATCAGAGCAGGTCTAAGTGCCTGCTCTGCTTCCGTTCATCACTCTGATCGTTCTTGTTTTTTTTCTTGGGCCCTCTTGGTGGTTTCTTTATTCC